GCGCTGTTACATACTTCTAGCTACAATTCTCGTGAAGAGGTGTTAGACGCGGGATAAAGCGCCTGGCAAGGTGACGCCCGATTTCGCACCCGGCATGAAGATCGAGGGTGAAGGGGCCATGTTCCTTCATTTGACCCACCCTTCTCTGCGGATAGGATAAAGCAACTCAATGGACCCACTTTACGACACAGAGCAAGGTTACCCGTTTTTCGTTGTGCTACGAGTAGTTCTAATAGCGCTATCAAAGAGTGTAATAAAGTGTTCGCTGCAGCAGGCGAGCGGTCAGGCGGGTTCGCTTGCGTAGGTGCAAAACCCGTTCACCACAGTTTCAAACGAACAGGTTATAAGCCGTATCTATCGGTCGCATAACTCGTTTTCTAGCACTTTTTGTCGCATGCGCACTTCAACAAGAAGTCGGAGAACGGCTTTGACGGCGTGACACACTCCTACTGCCTGACACGCCCAACCGTCCGCAGCGAACTGAAGTATATGAATTCGAATGAACTGAAAATGGAAGCCACTAGCTACTCACCTCTGTAATCGTACACAGCTGGCAGTCGTTCCGAGGCTTACACCCAGTTCATGAATGAAGCACCTTGAAATCAGCTCACTTGATACACATTTGAATTCACATAACAACAGAAACCTATTATAACCACTTTCGAAGGCACAGGGGAGAGGGAATGTACACTCGTCATCCGGGCAGTTGATTAGGGCGGTCGTCAAAGGGCCGCAGACGCGGCTGCAGCAGCGACCGCGTACGTAGGAACTGTGTGCGGCGATCATTTTCCGGCCTGGTTTAGTCATTTTTCACTTACTTTTCACTGTTTTTGGCTGTTTTTTTATTAACGTTATCTGTTCTGTATGTTGTCTTCACAAGATACATTATGATTCAGTTTTTTTTAACTTATGCGAACAATTAGACGATTAACAACAATTGAACAATTACTTGAGAAAATCGCGAGAAGTATCCATTACAAGAACAAAAAGATGATTAACGTCCCGATATACTTCGTATAGGCAATAAAGCAAATGACCTTGAAAAAACAGCCAAAAACAGTGAAAACTAGGGAGAAAATTGCTAAATTAGGGTGGAAACAGCTGATCGCAGCGATCGTGACGCGTCGCATCATTTGGGCCGGATAATCATCTGCTCGGATGACGACTTTATGCAGTGCGGGAACCCTGTTCAGGCGCGCCACATACCACCAAGAAGTGGTCCCCTCTCTAACAAACCCACTCCTGAATACACATCGCGAGATTACCCGGCAGCCAAATCTCGTCCTACACGCAGTCCGAGCCGCAATATCAGATATTTTTCCACTTCCGCCAGAACATAGTGAGCAAAGTTGGGGATTCAGTTGCCAAAAGCAGAAGGAACTTCATTCCCAAAAGCTGGCTCTTCCATCAGGGGACTATGTGCCAGTGGTCTCAGATCTACAAACAGAGGGGTGCTGCATTGTTTTCACTCTCATCTTCGCTTTTGCCTGCTTCTGATCTCCTGATTTCTTAATTGTTAAGTCTAACAACATTTACATATTCGTATTTGGATCCAAAAGCCCATTCATCCGACATTTACAAATTTGAATGCCGATCCAAAAAACCTATAAGTTGTAACAGTGAAACAAGCCTTCAAGAAAGAAAGAGCCCACGCTCCCCTGTGAGCATGCATGATAAGTTTTCCTATTTATGCTGTGAAACCATATCGAAAGTATGATCTATTACATGGTTTTTTTGTCGCATACAAACTTTTCGTCTCACTGACCGATCCCCCCTCCCAAGTGTTACAAAACAATTATGTAAAGTATCTTTGAAGTAAGCACATGAACCGTACCTCAGAAACGCATCCGTTTCCCCTACACATTGTACTTGGATGGCAAAGTAGGGTAAGTTGAAATGTTTAACAGTACACATATAAACGATCTGAGCCCCCGCCAGTTGCGCTCTCGGCAACCCTTTGCGTGCAAGTTCGAAAGCTGCTTCACTCTGGAAAACGGTTATGGGTTCAGAATGTGGAAAAAAATCAAATGCACTTTTTCATTTTCACATATTACAGTCTTCGATTATCCCAGGGTACAATTACCGTAATTAAATCACCTGTATATCAACTTCAGCAGCTTGGAATGTCATCTTCCGATATTCTGAGAGAACTCTAGCTATAAGCTTTTCCAGTCTGTGGC